TTGAAGCACTTTAATGTCTTTCAAATTGTTTTTGTTTATTCAGAATTACTTTTCTGACTTATCGATCAGCAAACAAAAAAGCCAATACTCTTCCGCTATAAAGTCAATTTACTTTTCTTTTCATCGATAGAAGTCGATTGTATGTTAAAAGGATCGACATAGCTGAGCGCTTTGGTGGATGAACATGTATTCACAAGATACTGTATTCAAACGTCCATATCACCAGTCATGAAATTACCTAGGACAAGTCACTGACGATTTTTTGTCTTGGATCATCCATTCAATATCATGCTGACTACGTTGTAACACACACATACTCATGTGGCTAGTTTGTGTATATGAGAAGATCAAGCTATTGAATGCAAGAACTCTGCTGGAGGCCAGTCTTCTATCCAAAGCTACAACTAGTATTAGTTGTAGGGAAGATATCGAGTTATTAAATCTGCCACTTGGCAGCATCTCATATCGCAACACAGGGATATTCTTCTTCTTCTTCTTCTTCTTCTTCGTGTGTGAAAAGATATTGTTCGAGAAAATATTCTTTTTTTTTTGATAAGTTACCATATAACGTTGAAAGACATCTATGTTTATGAAGTATTAAATGTCTATAAACGATCGTATTAATTTATTTGGGAATAACTTCTACCAAATGTTTATCTTATCAATACATCTGATCTTATTACTGACTGATTTTTATTCATTAGAATAGAGAAAAAAAAACGAAACAATGATAATTGATTTATTAGAACATCTGTATTTATTCTATTAATCTCTTTTAAAGCGCATACATCAGCTAAAGTAAATAAAAAAACAAACTTCAATTACTTTTGAAATGCCACTTTCGGATAAATGAACAACATCAAGTTGGAATCCTGTTCGTTCTCCATTCGGTGTAAATTTTACTTTTCCCGTAATTCCATCAAAAGAAATCTATTAGAATATAATGTTAATTATATAATGATTTTGTATAAGAAAATAAAATACTTGATTAAATTTTGAATGAAGTTCAATACCTAATGGCCATCCTCGACCATCCGTACATGAAATATTTGGTCGTAATATTTCTACACCAAGACGTATTTGTGATGCAATCAATCTATCATATGCATAAGCAAATGCAAGTAATGCATCAGCCCATAATGCCACTGATGTCTAAACAATGCCATATGGATGATTCGATCATTTTAGAATTAAAAACAAAAGAAAATCTTCGAATAACTCACGGTGAATAATCGACGATTTACTTCATTATTTGACATAGTTTTAAATGCAAAAAATGATTCCATGGCCATTAATACACGTGAATCACGACGATTAAATAATCGAAATGCTGTTAAATTAACATAATTATATTTGTAATCTTCTAAATCAAATGAATCAATATTCTAAAACAATAAAACAAAAAAAAAAGAAAACTATCATCATTTTCAAACGATATATTTAAATATATATGTATATATACTAATGTTGTTAGTAAATAGTGATAATTTGGATTAACCATTCCCATTTGTAAAGCCATTTTAAGTACAGTACGTGTATTTACATCATTTAAATCTAATATTATATTATTGATATCTCGTCCAATAGCATCAATAAGAACACTACGATCTTTATAATGTGTAAATTGACGTACAAGGACATCGGTTTGATTGACACCAGGATCGTTGAGCAATTTTTGTAGACGTGTCAAACCTTATCATATAATATATAAATGAAGATAAATCTTACAGTTTAATTAAATATATCTTTACCTGAATCGATATCATATATAATAAGAAATTTAGTCCATTGGAGTTTATGAGTCAAATCATGAAAAGCAATATTAAGATCTTGATTGGACGGATATAAATTAATAGACATGCGATCACGTCTTGGGATTTGTTCAATATAGTCATTAGGTTCTTCATCCGGATTTTCAACATCATAACATGATGAACATACATTTATAAATGGTACATCAACATGATAACATATTGAATGAACAAGTGTAGCTAATTCAGGATAAGGTGGACCAAATATACCTTGTACATGACGTTGATGTACAAGTGAACAAACTAAAAAAAACATTTAGTAAAAAAGATAAATCTTAGTCGAATTTTCACAAACACACACCATCATGAACAGTTTGTACAGCTGATTCAGCAGCAATTAAACTTAATGTTTCTTCTTTAATACGTATTTTAAATGAAAGATTATGTGCTTCTTTAGCCAAACGATTATAATGAAAAATAGCGTATTTAAATATATTTTCCATACTTTGAGTTTCTGTTCCTTCGTCTCTGTCTGTAAAAACACCACCTAGAAAAAACAAAACCAAAAAAATAATACCATGAATTTTTTTTTTTTGTTGTTGTGAGTTTTTTTAATATTTTATCATTTACCAATAGTGATGTCAAATGTTTGAATTTGTAATTGTTGTTGACCAGCAACAGTAGTTGTAATAATAATAAGTAAATCCCACAAATAAAAAATAATAAGAATAAACATTTTTCTGCATCACTTCGTATACGTAGGTGATTTTTTACTATTGAACATCGAACATTGCGTGCCCACCCAGGACAATTACTATCCGTTTTATTCTATCTAAGCTACTTTTTCTAAATAGATTAGATTATAGAAAAATAATTAACTTACTTAGGCTCATTTCATCTTACGTTTAAGATCTATGAACGTAGCAATATGTCACAATAATTATCATCTAGAAAAAGAAGGAGAAAAAAAAAGGAATACTGCTTGTCAATGTTCTAGTTATCTGTTACGAAGAGAAATGTATTTTGATCGTTCTTTTCTCTTTTCTGTCATTCCAAGTGGATATCATCAAGGACTCGTTGACGATCACATAAAATATGAGAAGAATGAGGGAATAGAAGGGTGCATAATAATGATTGCCAGAGAACACTAGGAGTAATACTTTATTAGATCAAACCAATATTTCTGACCGAAGTTCACATTGTTAGTAACCCTAATCGTTCTATTTTTTTTCCTTTCTTATACATCCATCATTCTAACAGCAAAAGAACAAGGATATGGAAATGTTTGCTTCTCTCATCTATTCGTCCTTGTCGCATTCTTATCATAGACGAGATTTTGTGCGTACTACGCGCTTTCTCGTTTTCTCGCTTTGCACATTCAACAGACTCATCAATGCTTGCTCTATTCGCGTGCTACATAGAAAATGTGGAGAATACATCCATTCAGAAGATTTCTCATTTTGTTGTTTCTCTCATGGTTGTCAGTCGTCTCATTTCACAGAACAAGAGAAGAAAGAGAAAAAAAATAAACGCCACTAAGCAACAAATAGAAATGAAAATGACGACGGCAACAAGACGATTTTCTTAGCTACAAAAAAAAAAGAGATTGTCGTCTGATACTAATGATGATGACGAGGTTACTATTGCTTATATTGACTACTGTTGGTTGAAGCGACTCTGTAGGGAGTCTCCAATAGCAAGGATCGTGCTGTTCTACATTTGCATGATGCTGAGAATAAATTCAAATTAGAATAGTTCATTAAATCATGAAGATCACAAAGAATTTCTTTTTTCGATGTCAACAATGACTTGAACAGAAATTCAATTAATGAAACAAACCTAGATATTGTTGTTCAAGAATTTACTTTTTTCTTGTTTAATAGTAGTGCATTTAGATTATAATCAATTATAAGAAGAACACATACATTTCTCTCTTGATTGAAATTGACACCAATTGACAAGTTAAAATAGAAAAGGATTTCTATAATCGATTGAAAATTTGTTCATTTTTCTTAGCTTTACTTTAATATGAGACGATATATATGTTTAGGTGCGAAATTTGTGAACTTAAAACGTAACGTGAGTTAGCAAATTTGTCCTTTGAGATTATTCGGAAGTGGCATCATTTAACAACCAGTAACACGATTTCCAATTATCGTTGCACTTTCTATTGTAGAATTGATGACTGGAAAAGAATAGGAGAAAAAAATTATTGATAATTTCCTTTCAAATTCATTAGAATCATTGAAATATATATTATTAAAAATAAATTAATTTACATAAAAATTGTCTAAAAAGAAAAAAAGAAAAACAAAATTTCAAAACCAAAAAAAATTCAAATCTTTGTTCTCTTTTTTTTTATCAATTCACTTTCAAATAATAATTGATTCATTTCATTACAGAACGAAAGAATAGACTAAGGCATGTCGGTCCACTAAAACATAGATAATCAATAAGACCATATGATCGATCAACTAGCCTCAAGGCTTTCTCCCAAGACAGCCAATCCTTCATACACGTATATTTACATATACAATAAAGAAATCATGAACGCATGAAAGAAAGTATTGCTGTGTATTGTGTATTATATTATCGCTAACTACGAAACAGACACACATTCATACACTCGCCAAAATGCATATATCATTATATGGATGTGTGCGACCAGTTATATTGTTGTTGTAAGTAAAGATAAAGCGATTAGTCATACAGGCGAAAGAAGTATATTCAAATATCAATGTTTGAGATAGAGTGCAATAACAGCTGTGATGACGATAAAAAGAAAACTGACAACAATTGATGACGATAGAGATCAAGTGTCCAATATATGTGCTATATACTTCTGTTGATTGTCACTTGTTCTATGAGCGATATTCAATTTGATGAATGATGTCTCAACAACAATACAAGCGAGCATCGAATTTGCTTTGCTGTTGCCTGAAAGATTAGTCGTTATTCAAACTGCACAACGCATACATAAGTATTGGCTTGCATTGATGCCATTGATCAAGTCAACGCCAATGCTTGTATTGCAACAAACAAAAAAAAAGAAGAACCTATTTTCTCTCTCCATTTCTATGCAATAGTATATGTATAACGATATACATACACGCATCTATACATCTAAATTGTACAATATACTTGCATGTCGCATTGTTCCCTTTCTCTTTTTGTGTGTCAAAATGTCAATTCGTTTTTTTTGTAATGAATTCATCAATGAAATGAATTCAGTTTTCGATTATGATAGTAATGGTAAGATTATGTAATCTTCTTTTCTTCATTTTGTTGATAAAACTTTTGAATGTTTCATACGATGAATCAGCTGGAACAAAAAAAAAATTTGTAATCTTGTACAACAGAAAGTGGGGAGAGAGAGAGAGAGAGAGAAAAAAAGAATATGCACCAAGAAAATAAATGACCTTTTTTCTTTTTTTTGCTTTGCATTTTCGTATAGTTTATGTGTGACATGTTGCCACTTGTCGACGTTTTATTCTTCTTCTTCTTCTTTTAGATTTCTTTTCTCCTTCTATTATATACAGGCATATTTATTTCGACTATAACAATTTCTTCTTAACTGCGTAAGCAATTGTGTTCTGCATTGCTTAATGAGCTGCTCGTCCTCATCTTATCAGCAGCAGCCATATCGGTTAAGCTGTCGACATGAAAGAATATAAAGTAGTAGTACTCGGTCCAGGCGGTGTTGGCAAATCGGCATTGACTGTACAATTTTGTCATTCAAAATTTGTCGAAAAATATGATCCGACTATTGAGGCAAGCAAATATTATTATAAAAATTTCATCAAATTTTTTTTTGTGATTGTTCTCTTCTGAAAAAAAAATTCAATATTTGAAGAATATATTTTTTCAAGACTAAACTTAAATTATTCTCCATGGATATTAAGTAAATTCTTTTCTTAGATAAATAAATAATTTCTGTTTTCTTTTTTAATTTCTAATTAAGCTAATCATTTATTGTTATTTTTAGGATTTCTATCGTAAAGAAATTGAAGTTGATAGTGAACCTGCTTATTTAGAAATACTTGATACTGCTGGTTAGTTGTATTTCTAATTGAAGAAGAAAAAAAAAGATTTCGTTCTGTTTTTTTCAAATGAAAAATATTTAATATTTTAGGTACCGAACAATTTGCATCTATGCGGGATCTTTATATAAAAAATGGACGTGGTTTTCTTGTTGTATTTAGTTTAACATCATGGCAATCATTTCTTGATATTCGAACAATACGTGAACAAATTCTACGTGTTAAAGGTACAGATAATGTTCCAATATGTCTTATTGGAAATAAATGTGATGCATCATTACAACGTCAAGTTACACCTGATGATGCACTTGCATTAGCACAAACATGGACATGTCCATATATTGAAACATCAGCTAAATTAGCTATTAATGTTAATGATACATTTGCTGAAATTGTACGAGAAATTAATTCAAAAATGAAAACAAAAAAAACTAAAAAAAAAAAAAAGAAATATCGAAAATCATTTCTAAATTGTTGTTCATCATCGTGATATTTATTTATCTATTTATAGCAATAAAGGAACAGAGAACCAAAAAAAAAACAAGTTTTTCTTTTAATTCATATATCACGAATAATAACAGTCAGACAATTAGTTAGAAAATGTTAATAATATATAAATAGAATAATAACTATTAATTAATCTTTTACCCCCTGGAACTAATCCAGTAGAGTTGATGTGAAGTCAGATATGGAAATAACTTATGGGGATGCTGATTATGACACTGATATAGTTAAATTTGAGCGAAGTCATATACGCAGAATGTGCCATAAATAATCAATTTGTCTTGAATGATATAAACATTACATTTTTCTCTATAAACCTGGAAACCTAATTATCATAAATTATTTTTTTTGAAAAATGAATCACTTACAAAGATGATATATGGTTAGACATTTGCAAAAGTGGCTATTTTTGGATTGAAGTCAGTTTCTCGATTTCCTGAATCGTGTCAATATCGTTAGTCGTCATGCTCTTTTTAGAATGTGGAATCATTGGGTTTGATTCCGTTTCGAACTCATCCACTTCTATTGGTAAGGCTTCGTCAAGATGAAAGGTTATAACAAAAGCTGCAGGGTTTTATCTTTTATTGATAGAAGGTTATTTAAAAATATTTAAAATAGAATAATTTTAGAAAACCTATTTTTCATGTAACTACGAATGAGTCAAAAATGATCCAATAGAATATAAAAAATTATATCATTTCTAGTAAAAGAAGATGGATATGTCACGATTAAAAGTTATATTTAAGTATGAATTCATTTTATAATTAAAAGTAACATTTCTTTAATACTCGACTCAAAATCATTATCATCATCAATAGCGCCAATTAATTTATCATCATTACTCTTACTTTTCTTACAATAAACTATAGTTTTCTCATTAGTAAACCCAAAAAGTAATGTAGCAATGTCACAATTAATTGTATGGTCATAAAAAACATCTATTAGTCCTATCATAATGAATGTTAGAAAAAAATAATCGTGACAACAATTTTCTCCTCAAAGAATACTTCTTATATAATTGAATTCAATTTCCATTATAAACACTAAGCAGATGCACTTTTATACCAATTTTTATTGATATAAATGAATCACAGGTAGAGTCAGTAGACATAAATTTTATGTTTTATGTAGACCATGACTTGTAAATTGCGACATATAAATCAATAGCAGGATATATGATACCATATTTGACTAAAATGACCCTGAGGAACTATTGCGTGTTACACGCCTTCCATTACTAGATTGAGAATAAATATTATCGAAATAAATGCACCTTTCATTTGAATCAATGTCACTGATGTGTTGGTAAATAAACCAATTAAAATATTTTGAATTATTATTGTAATGAGTTCGAAAATTAACAGTAAATATATATTATGATTCATGTCAAACGAATTACAACGACATTTTTTTTTTATTCACACATGTCATAAAATTATTCAATGTTACTTCATTGACAAGCAAATCTATTTAGAATATCACATATAAAATGAAGACAAACATTGACAAGATGCAGTAGAACTGTCATTGCACTGATATGGTAAAATATATTTCACTATATTTGAATCATAAAAAAAGTAATTCTCATTACACATACAACTAGAAATTGTACGATATTCATTATGAAGATATCTATTGTCTATCTCATTACAGCAATATATTAATCATATTAATTCATAACACAAGTTTCAAAATGATATAATTTGCTAATAAAAATTGGCATACAATGAAATATATACCATTCTCTCATCCATTTAAAATACATAGTAAAACTAGATTAATATTCATATTCAAATAAATATGAGACATCCACTGATAAATATCTCTTATATATAATACATCATTTTAAAAAGAAGAAATCTAATACTTCATCTAATTAACAATTCACTACTTACTCAAATAAATCGAATCAGAACATAAATAATTAGTTACGTGACGAAGAATTGTTTGACACAACGATCTAATGATGAGTTACATATTTAATTATCTAAATTGTTTAATATGATGAAAGATTATAATCATATAATTCCGATAGATAATATGTTACAGCTTGAGTTATATGACATTCATTAGTATTAGTACATATTACTTGTGTATAATATTTAAAGGGAGGACACTGAAGGCGATCGTCTCTCCTTTCCAAAATATTTTTCAATTTTGCTCAACAGAAAACGCCCAAATTTTTGAATAGGCACATGAAATGTTTAAACAATCTGTATTGTAATTTCAATCAATCAACATTCAAAATTAAGACTAGCTTGTAAACAAAATAATGAGATAGTACAATCCCCCATCAAATGACATGTCGTTAGATCTCATGCATGCAAATCAAGATTCTTGATTAGAGAAGATTCTCTCATAATATCTAACTTTCTGCGATTTTTTCTACAGCATCGTGACAGCTTTTTGAAACACTATTTATCTTTTTCTGACAGAAAGTGAAATAAAAATAAGCAGACAATGTCGTTGTAAAGTGAATAGGATTGGGGGAGGGATGACCTTGTAGCAGGTGGTCTGCTGTATGAAAGATCGGATCACAATGGGTTTCGTTCTTCGCTCTCCGCTTGCCGCCATTTCAAGTACTCCAAGAATGAAAATACCTTCTGCAAGAATTTTTGAACTTTTTAGATTCTTCGACTTGTATACAGTATTTAGTGCACATGCACATATTTTTACTATGACAATAAAGGTTATACACATATTGATATTTAAGTAGTATCAACAACAGTGGATAGATTGTAGGAAATAAGTGTATGAAGTAATATCACTAAAGATAATAGAATATTTATTCGAAGTCAATGACAGTTATGCATTTGTAAGATAGTTTATAGCGATTTTTATCTGAAAGTATAATGAATAATTGAATCTTTGTTACATAAACTGATGGCTAAAAATTAGTTATATGAATACAAATTTCTGAGATATAAATTCATTAAATGCTATATAATGATTTCTAATAAAAGTGACATTAACTCAGAATGTTCTCAAAAAAAAATTCCTCAAGATTATCAAGATTGATATTGAAATCAATAAATCAAATAAGATACACTTATAAAACCATATTGTTCAATAAGTAGCATTGAGACTGTCTACATCATTTTTTTTATGAGAATACGTACACTATTTCAGTAATAGTGCAATTGTATTTAAGAAAATATTTAGAAAAAGTAAAAAAAAACAAACAATCGACAGAAACTACAGATTCTTACTAATTCATCAAAGTTTTGATTTCATCTTATGACAGGTATGACATTTTATTTATTGAAAGAGACTTTCAATCTCTCTGTATTTCTTCAAATAAAAACAAAAATAAATATTATTCTTTGTGATATTAATCTGTAAGCATGAAAGAGAACCAAATTTAAGTATGACACTACTACCGATATAGCGCACATATTACATCGAACGGTCTACCGATGGTTTTTGTTTGCTTTGAATCACATGGGGTATTTTAACACATATCAAATTAAGATTATTTCGACATTCAATTGTTATATTACATATTTGTTTTTTTCGTATAAATTGATAGATCAACATATGAATCTTCACATCAATATTGTTTACTAGGTAGACACATTTTGATTCTCATTCAGACACACTTGATTTACATTTCGATATTCTCAAACATGTTTGTGAATAAGAAAATATTAATGTTGATTAGACGACAATGCTATTCAACTGCAAATAAATCAAATATTAGAATATCAATAGTTATATATGTCGATTTCAGCATAGAAAATAAATAATATTTATAGAAAAATATTTGTTTAATTTTTGTTGATAAAATATATTCTTCAACGAGGAGAAAATTTCAAGTATTACTATCGAAATCAGTATGTGATGAAGTTCATGTTGCAATGTCTGCACTTAATAATATTATTCAGTAAGAAGTTATTTCACGTGATAGAATTCTTTTTATTCGAAAGTGGAGTATGATAAAAAAATGCGTTTCTTTCTTTTTCTTTTTGCGCAATTAAATAAATACTTCATTTTACTGATATACATACTCGAATATCTAGTACAAAAAATAATTCAATATCGAAATATATCTGTTGAAGATTCCATTACACTTGAATAAATAATTAAAATGCTAATTGAATTTTATAAGAGAGTAGCAATAATGAAATACTGAATCAATTGATTCTTTATTATATAAGGTGCCGGAAATGCAAAACTAAGACAGAATTTCTTTTTCTTTTTTTTTTGTATATATAGTTCGATAGAGTGCGACGAGTTGATCTAGAATAAATGTGTTTTCATTTTATTTCAATGAGTTTTTTAGGTGAAAATTTTCAATTGTTCTCGATGACCTACTTTTTCTGAAAAAGTAGGTCAATTTTCGATAACAACAAATTGTTAGTTTTTTTGTTTCAGATTCAGCATGAAAAACTGAATCTAGGAATGTCATTTGAAATGACAATTCCATATTCGGTTTTTCATGCTGAATCTGGAACAAATGGTTTTGATATTTGAAAGAAACAAAAAAAACTTGACATTTTGTCGGTTATTGAAAACTGATCTATTTTTTCAGAAAAGTAGGTCATTGAAAAAACTGAATATTTTCACCTAAAAAAACCATTGGCATAAAATGAAAACACATCTATTTTTGATTAGCTCGTCATGCTCTATTTAACCATGTATAAAAAAGAAAAAACAAATTTTGCTTTTATTTCGCATGTCCAGTATCTTAAATAGAGACACACGTGATATTATTGTTTGTTGATAACTAGTGATAATTTTTTGTGTTAAGTATTTTTTTATATGAAAAAGTCATTAAGTAATCAATCGTTATTGATTATTTTGATGAATAAGTGAGTTTGTTTTTTTTTTTAATGTTGACGAAGAAATATTAGACTGCTACGCTAGTGACACTCGAATACGAAAGGCAGCTGACTGTACAATTCCTGAAGAAGTCACCAGGTGAAAATAATCGTATGAAAATAATGCAAGTTCGTTTCAGACAATCTGGATTCATTAAATCTTATATTAAAATCTTAGTAAGTGTTACTTTTTTTTCTTAACATAAGATTTAATCAGATTTTTGATACTACATCATAAAGAAAGTCTTGTAAGATTTTTATTATAATAATCTTTAAAAAAAGACTATTAGTACGAATTAGTAAGGTTCTTACGAGATCTTGTACAATCATTGTAGATATGTTTGATCCCTCGGCAACACTCAGACATCATCAAACTATTCTTTTTATGAAGTAAATATCGTCATGATCTTGATGCCGTCTGCTGTTTCCAAGTAAACATTTTTCTTGTTTCACTACATATAAATTGTCTTAATATTTGTATTTTACTTTAGTTTTTTGTAATTTTAAAAATCAGTATACATGAATGATTCATGATAAAAGATTTCCTGAAGAAGGCAAGCAAATCGAAACCGATAATAAGGTAAACAATGTTCCAGAAAACTCTGCAAAAATCATACAGTACAATTTTATCTGAAATATTGAATTACATGTTGACATATAAAATCGTACAAGAATTTATAGATGGACTGTTTCACCTAGAGCAGAACACCATCTCATGCGACATCTATTAGTGCTAAATTTTAAGCTAGCATTGAATAAATTACAATAAATTTCAATTATATCTAGCTATCTTAGATCAATAGAGTAGTAAGAAATAAAGAACCTGAATTAATTATAGCCATATGAAAAAAACCTATAAATTATTCATTGTTATACATATCAGATTAACATAAATATTAGACTAACGTCAATGCTTTGGTATTATTTTTATTAGAATTAATTAATATTAAGCCATTTCATTAAAATTAGCATCATTTTTAATTCTAATATATATGCTACATGTGAATAAACCTATGAGAGTTCATCTTCGAAAGTTTCTGATAATAGGACAAAGATTCTTTCGCACCTGAAAGTGTCATTCCCAAAAATAGAACAAATTGTTCGCTCTTAGAAACCTCTAACCTTAGAGTGTGCGGCATCTCGTCGTTGGTAATCTATGTATTAGAATTAAAAATAATGGTAACATCTTAGCATTAATGAATCCTTATGCAAATAATACCGAAGCATTACGGTCAATTTTAATATTAATTTGTATAGTATTAGTATCTAATAAATGCTATTGATAATTCTAATATGATATCTTTATTCATTGTTGTCGTTAACATTTCATTTATACAAGCCCTCTAGAAATTATTGTGAGTGTTTCAAATCCTTTCATGAATAAATTTAAGTTCAACAAGACAGTAATTGAATTGTGTACATGCGCCAAGAAACTTCAACGTCAATAGTCATTCAGATATTTATTTGTATATATTCATATCTGAAAATTGTAAGTTATTACTTATTATAGTTCACATTTTTACAACTCCCAAATGCATTCGAGTATTTAAAAATTTCTTTTAGATGTACATTCATCTTATTCTCATAATCATGGCAATTTCTTTTTTTGGATGCGAAAAAAATAGTCAAGTGATGATTTGAAATATGAATAATACGTCGAGAAGAAAAATTTGTCATGACAACTGAAGAATTGAGAAACAATATATTTGTTGATGTCATAAAGTGCAGAGAGTGGGCTGCACTATAGTTATGCACATTATTATAGGGCAAAAACTGGTCACATCTGTTTGCAGTACTGACATTGTGGGGACATATTAAAAAAAAAAAACTACAAATTTGTTATTTTCATCAATGCATCTTTTGTTATTCGTGCTATATTGAGATATATACTTCTTCGCATTTCGTTTTTTTCTGAATAGAATGGTTTTTTTTTGTTTCATACAATACAATAGAACATTTGTTCCAAATAATTTGTTAACAAATTGAATTCATTAAAAGATCAAAGAAAAAGTTTTTTTCGAGCATCTTTTTTTTTTTGAGTAGGATGAAAAATATGCGAAAGTATAGTGTATGATATATCATAATAAGATAAAAATATGATTTTGTCACTTGAATAGTGATGAAAACGAAATAAAAACTTTTTCAAAAATTATAACTATTAAGTATAATACTTTTTTTTTCTCTATATCGAACTTGTCAAGTATTATATACAAAACAATGTCATATAGTTTATCAGCTTATTTTAGATCAAATAAAATGTCATGAGCAACCAGATTAGTTTTTTTTACTCAAAAATCTTATTCTAATACGATTATATAAAGAAAGGTCAATCATATTAATTATTCTATTTTTATTTCCTGATAAAAATAGAAAAGAAAATATTTTGTGACGACAATCATAGTGATCAACTAATATCATGATTATATAATATAAATTGTCAACAATCACGTTTTTTATGACCTACTTCATTCAATTATATTAGATGTTTTTTTCATCTGACACGATTTCATTCGATTGTGAGGTGAAATTAGCTCAGATCTAAAGATAATATTTGATTTTAAATTAATTTTAAATATTACATGTCATGGAAAGTTTTCTTTCCGCATACATATAAGACGTTCAATATCTTATTATCATTTGTTCTTGTTTATTATTGAGAAATGCATGGCTGTAATCTAGTTTTTTTTTTCTAATTAAATAATATCGACATGCAATGTTAGAGTCTATTAAATAAAGGATTCAGAATATTATATTGTGAAAACTTAAATATACTAATTGATGAAATCATTTTCTTTTTCAGTTTCAGTTGACTACGAAATAATTATTAAATATTTATGAAATGAGTATAATGTAAGAAAAAAATACCATAATTTTGTTTTAGTTTATCAATCAAATATTCTAAATTTAAGTTTATCTTAACATTTCATTCAGTTAAAAATAGAACATTTATATGAATATGACTTTAGTTAGCTCTTCAATTTGTTTTCAAGATAACTTCTGTATTTTTAATATCGTAACTCGATGATATTTTCCAGTCTGTTTTGAATAAATATACGAACAGACTTTGTTTCTTGTTTACAAGAAAATATTCATAATCGAAAAAACAATCATAATAGGAATTAAACAACATTATTTTTTACCAATTGAAAATATAAATCTACTTCACTTACTCTATTTAATAGATTTATTGAATGATTGAGTACTAATGCACAATCATTTCTTATGAACAGTTTCTAAAATAACTATTCAATTAAGTAAACCGTTTATTGACTATGTTTCTGACTATTTCTCATTTGTAATCATTCAGTTGTCTTTTGATTAATCCTCTGTGACTATGACAAAAATAAGACCAATTCTAAATGAATAAGATATTTTTTTTTCATACATATTTATGAATAATCGTAATCAGTTTATATTCTTCTATAACTTTGTACTTATATACGAAGATTTAAAAATCTTCGTATATCATAATAATATTGTTAATTAATAGATAAAAAAAACAAAAATTGACATTACATACTTCCGACAATGATAGAAATGTTGAAACTCTATACATTTTTTAAAAATTTGTTGTTTTTTTTGTTCAAATCAATATATTTGAATAGATTTCTATTATAATAATAGGAGTGGGAGGAATGTCATGACATTTTTTTGTACAGAATAATAGTAAAAAAAGACACATACAAATAATAAACAAAAATAATAGTAAATGTAGAATACGTGGACAAAGTATTCGTTTTTTTTATGGATCTAGAGTTTCTCATAGCATAGAAATAATTAGTAGATAATGCCATAGAAAACATTTAAAGATTATTACAAAATCGAGGAACCATATCTAAAGAATTATTATTTCTTCCATAGAATATTAATTAATTTTTGTTTTTTTTAGAAATTCGACATTAACATCCAAAAGATATAATCCATTGTGACCAATATCCTTTACTGCTATGATGACATTTAAAGAACTATTGGTGTACTTAAGACATGAAAAATATTGCTGCCTTTTTTTTCTATGCATCAAACAATTATATAAAAAAAAACCTTGAAAGAGTACAAATGAGTTTCGAAGTGAATGCCAAAAGAAAAAAAAAGTCATAATATCCATCCAATGTAATGTTCGACAGCTTGTATTTGAATTAATCATCTAGGTTAACTTGTGCTCATTTCTTTCTCCATAAAAGAAAAATAATAGAAAGAAATTTTCCCTTTGCAAATGGCAAAAACGTAATGCTTGTTTTGATTATTCATTATTATGCATAGAATTCATGTCAACGTCTTGAAGTATTAAAAAAGTAATAGTAACATCTCTCTTAATTTATATAAGATTAAAAAGATTTTTAAAATCTTTTGGGTAATAATCAACATTTGTGATGTCTACTAAATGTGATATGATCATCTTGTCTTTGTTCACATTCGTTTTTCAAAAAGAAGCATATTGTTCTCTTATTTAAAAAAATTTTATTGTCATAAATAGATCTCAATAATAAATCTTAAGATTTCATTTTGAAATACAAATGATATTCTAATAGATTGTGGTAATAATATAACTTATAACGAAATCAATGAGCTTAAGTCAATCTTGTTTTCTTTTTTATTAACCGGAATAAACATTGAAAAAAAAACATATTATACTACAGTTGCTTGCGGCGCATGAATTTAATAAAAACAAAACAAAAAAAAAGCAACAATGGCAATACTGCAAAAAGTAGACAACAACAGAAAAATAGAAAAACAAATAAACAACATGTTTTTCTTTATCGTCAATGTTGAGATCATATATGAATATGAAAGTTTTTCTTGTTTTTATATATATATATATAAATCAGACGAAAAATTTTCTATTTACATTCCACCCGAGTTTCATACTAAAATTACGATTAATTAATTAATTAAAAATTTTTAAAAAAATTAAATTTAATATTACCTGCTAATATACGTGAAGCAGCTTCTTTTTGATATAGTTCAGTGAGTGGAGTAAGAACTTCAAGAATCTATAAATATACATCAAACATAATTAAATAAATACAAAAAGAATAGAATTTTTTTGTTAAAACTAACTTTCATAATTTTATTTAACATTATTTTTCCATCATTTTTACCCCAATTATGACATAATTCTGTATAAAGTGCATAAAGATAACAAGATCTTAACATTTGAGGTATATGTTTATCTTCCATAGTTGAATCTAAAACTATCAAATATAAATTTAATCAATAATAAAATGAAACTATTTTACCATAAAAACACATATGTAATGGTAAAATAAGTGCAAATTCTCTTTCACTTAGATGAAGATCACGAAAACGTTTACAAAAACTAAACATAGCATCTGATAATTCATCACCATATAATTGACACATCCAATGACGAGTCACTTGAAAACCATTTGGAGCAAGTAAATAACATTGACCATTTTCATTATATACTTCATGATATTTAAGCTTAAAAATGAAAAGAAAAAATTTTTAATGCAATATTCTTTCTTTTTTCAATAGAACTATTTACCAAACACCATGCAAATACTCGTTGAGAAATTATTTTTTGAAGACTTTTTGAACATATATTTTTCATACCAGGTAACTAAATTATGAAAAAAATATGTACAAAAAAAAAATAAAAAATTTTGTTTTTTAAATATAAATTACTTCTTGAATATTTAATACTGTTGAATGAGTATAGACTTGACAACATACTATAAAATAAAATAAAAAGAAATAATTTATATTAAATTTTATTCGATAAAATTGTTTTCCTAACATACATCGAACACTATTGAAAAATTCTCCTAATGTTGCATTATCACCAGGATATTCTTGAATATTATTTTCAATCATTTGATTCATTCGAGAAACTAATTGCTTTTGTCTCTTTGAACGTCGAAGATAAACATCGTATGCTGCACAACGAAGATATCTAAATAAAAATATAACTAGTAAAATCTTGTTGTCAAATTGAAAGTCTTAAGTTCGATGAATTTATTCAATTTCAGTCAATAAAATGAATAGCTCTCTTTTGTTACTGACATTAGACTACATTGTTAGAAAACATTTGATAAGAGTGATATAGGCAGATATTTTACTTGATAATTTTTTTCAGAAATTAAATTCTATCACTGATCAAACTCTTTTCTACTAAATAAAACGTGTAATATGTCAATTCAATTACCCAATAAATTTGGCTTCGTTTTCATTGAGTTCAATAACTAAATTTGATGGATTTGTACTTAATTTATTTGCTACTGTTTGAGCATATTGTAATTCTTCATTGCTTAATAAACCAATTGTTTGTTCGGATGAATCATCTGTTTCATCAACTGTAAAATCAGCTGGTAAAAAAGTTGAATATTTTGTTCGATATACAATTTGTGTATTTTCTTTTTCTTGATTCTTTGATGTTGATTGAGATGTAATATTTATTGAATTATCAGACTGTGATTGTGAAGAATTTAGTTCAACTGTCGAAGGACGAACCTTATTTAAAACCTGCACTTGATCATCATCCATTGGAGAAGGAGATGTTAATTTTTTTTCGAAATTATCACTTGTATATGTATTTGTCAGATCACTGTTTCGCTGAATAGATGATACTTGTGAATCCAAAGAATCTAATCAATAAAATTTAATTATTATGAAAAAAAAAAAAAAAACTTTTTTTCGTACCTGTTTCCATTGTATTTGGATCATAATTTTCAAGTGTATGATCCGATAAAGATGAACAGGATGATTCTCTTCCATGTACTCCGTTAGCTTTAGCTAAAGCAGCTGCCTCTTTCAATTTTTGTTCTTTCAGTTCTTTTAAAGCTCGTTCTTTAACTAATTTCGGTATTCGACCCATTTTTACACCTTTGAAATAAAAATAGATTTTGTTTTTTTCTATTCTTCCTTTTTCAATATTTTTTTTTACAATCTTACCATCAACAGACATGCCTTCGTCAATACATCGACGAAAACGACAAGCTTTACAACGATTACGATTTGCCACATTAATAAGACATGCATTATCAAAATAGCAACGATATTTTTCTTTACGCAAAATACTTCTTTTAAAGAAACCCTAAAAATAAAAAAATCATAATAGACTTTTGACTCAAATAAAAAGAAAAGAAAAAAATTTCAATATTTTATAGAACAATATTAAAACTTCTACTGATTTATTTCATTGTTGAAGTTTTAATATTCGATATTCTTATATTCATAGAATTCGTATTATTACCTTACAGCCTTCACAAGTTGCAATTCCATAATGAATTCCGGTAGCAGAATCTGAACACACTCGACTAAAAAAAAAAACAACAAAAAAAAAAAGCTATGTATTAATTTTATATCTTTATATAATATAATTCTTACCAAGCTCCAAATGGAAATGCTAATCGTGTTCGTTTAGTTTTTGATGATTTTGGTGATAAACTTGATTCCGTCTGTTTTGTATTGATGACTTCATTATCATCACCAATTTTTATGATTAATCCACTTTCTGGCATTTTGTTTGAGAAAGACAAAATATTTTTTTAAATAAATACAGATATATTAATATAATCTAGAAAAATAACATGCATAGTCTGATGATAACGAAGTAAGAATGTCGGTCAAATGAAACATTTTATTTTGTTGCGATTCACATATAGTCGACATGATTCGAGAACACTGACAGCAAAAGGAAAGAAAAGAAAAAAAAATAGAGATGTGAGAAATGCGGTTGCATAAGAAAGTACGCCAAGGACAACAAGAGCTACTAGACGAGTACTCGTATGTCCTATATTTTCATGGTCCATATCCTAACTATCATGATCTCAATTTGTTTTCTGTAGAAGAAACTAAATTCTAAGTTATTTTTTGAACTATTTTACAACTAATCTAGTATTCTTCAACAAAACACTGTCAACAATACTAGATAAAAATCCTATCAAAAATAGTACTCATATCTATTTAGATAACAAAAGAAAAAAAAAAGAAGTTCTACATTTAGTACTGATATATTAACTCACGTTTATAATTTACAGCCAATATGCAAAAACGCTCTATTCAAAGTGCAACTAAAAAAAGAGAAAAGAAAAATGCTATGAGACAAACGAACGACGGAAAGACGTAGTTTGATATAATGTAGACAAGAGAAAAGTAATAAAAAAAAAAAGTACGAAAAGAGAACGATCAAAAAAAAGAAAAAAAAAGAGGTCGGCTAAGAACGTTGAGGCCGATACTATTTTGTATTCTTTCAAGGTTCGCAGGTTCCGTTCGACTCACATGTTCATGACACGTGACATTTAGTCATTTTCGTTGTAGAGAAACGGTTGACAGAAAAGGAAAAAAATAGTAAGCAGATCTTATTATGACGTTGTATTTTACGCAGATTCTAGAAATACACATTATTCATATATATATAGACATGTATGAAAAATGCACCGAAGAGATCAATAAGTAGTATAGTATTTTTCCCAATTACATCGTTACCTTTTCCTTTGCATATCTCAATACTTATATTAGCGCATGCATTAAAATATATCAATGAAGAACAGACGACAATTGAAAGGAGTAATAAGTATTATATGTTGTTGAGGGCAAAGAAAGAAAAACAACACGATGTATACTGACTGACTTACTTTGATGAAGTAAAAGAAAAGCAACACAGTGCATCTAATTTTAATACAAATTCTTGCACAACAAGAGAATAGACTCCATACACTTTACTATGAAATAATCTTTCTATATTCGTCTGATCTAACTATTATCTATATCGATCTTTTATTCACACAATCTAATAACTATATTCTACTGTTCAAATTTTTTTAAAAGATAATATATAAAGATCTTTATCATAGGATATTTAGAATACTTTTTTTTTTAACCTGAATAATTTGTCACTATAATGAAAATTATTTTCATTGAAATATGAAAGATTATTTATGCTAACTGACAACTAATGAACGATACTACAGATTGATGAATCTACCATTACTATTTTGATCGATACTTTTTACTCTTCGATTTCTAAAATTATTCAAGCTACGAAGACAGCTGTCGCTCTTTCTTTTTGGTCTATCAAGTTGTTAGAATATTCTCATCAACAGAAAATAATTGAAAGATATACTTTATTGTAGAGAATCATATGGCGAATCTTTTTTAGAAAAAAAATTGAATAAGCTTTATCTGTATACAAGAATATTATCGTTTCAGAACAAAAATAAATATCTCAATTAGACTATTCTATTATAAAGATTATTGTTCATAATACTTCTAGCATAAAGGTTGCCAGTACTTTCTCGTTTTTTTTTTATAAAACACATTATTAATTATAAAAATACTACATTGTGTGTTTGAGAGTATAACATTACAATATTTGAAATAACACGGCTTAGAACTATGAATACTTAGCATCCTGCTACTAATTATATATTTATTGAAAATATAAAGTTTCGAGAAAATGATATACTAAATTTAATTTTTTTCTTTTTTGGAAATATAAAACAATCAGTCATTTGATGTATCAACTTAAATAAATATATGTTATTCTAACAAATGAAAAAACAATTACTAACCCTGATTTGTGACATACATAGCTTAGAAATAACCAGTGTTTTGTGTCGCCTTGTTTTTATATACAAAAGGAAAAATAAAAGTTAACCTTGATTAAATGTAAAAACAAAAATTTTTGTTTTTAATCATAACATATATACTATCTATTTTTTTGCTATTAAAACATTGCTCTGAATATATTAATTAAATAAAACATTATTTGTTTGTTTTGAAAGCAATAACTCCTCAAATATTTCAACAATAGATTCAAATGAGTAGTTTGTAAATCAATAGTTCCATCAAATTGATTTCATTTGCATTTAGATATATAGAAATAGCTGGTTGTTTTTTCTTGTACACTATGTTTTAATAAATCAATTAGGAATATCATTTAAACACTTTGTTATCAGAACAACAAAGGAAATGATGAAAAAAAAAAAAAAAGAAAAAAAGTAGGAGGCACATTCACATAAATTCATTTGAGACACACAAAGAATAAAAGAGGAACACAGAGAATATCGACTCTCTCTACAAACATACACGCATGTGTTTTTTTTCTTCATTTACGTTGTTACCTTTTCTTTCCTGTTTCAAGTAAAGAATGAGTAAAGAAAAAAACAAGAAAAAGAACGCTGACAGTCTTTTTTTTTTATTTTGTCATTCGGAAATCGGAACGATGCATTAACGATATAGCATAGCATATGAGTAAAGAGAATCTTTATGAGAAAGAACAGAAGGAAAACTGCGCACATATACACACAAATAGGCAAGAAGAAAAAAAGGAAGAAAAAGAAAAAGAAAACGTTGCATTAACGAGACATAGATTGATGTTCGACTTTGGGATTTTGTTTTTGTTTTGTCATTATCATTCGTTATTGCAATTAGTTTCAAAATGCACACACTGTTTAAGAATAGCACTACTTTTTTTTTTTTTTGTTATGAAAACAACAACAACAACAATAACAGAGTCATACTTTTTGAGATGGCTTAGTCACTGCGAACAACAACAACTATATATATAAATATATACACTGTTATAGGACAAGTAGTGCGCATAAAACACTGCAAAGTCTATTTGTGTGTATATGTGCGTAATTATTTTTAAATTAAATAATTGCACTGTTGTGAATAAAACTACAACTAAGAGTGGATTGAGAATGAAGCAGGATTCAAGGAAGTTATATATGTGACGGAGAACAAATAGCACCTCTATTGCACTCTCAATAGCGCGCATATAAGAGGAAGCTATATTAGAAATTTATATACATAAGAGAGAGAAAAAAAAGGAGATCAACATAGACGAGATGAGGAAGAAAAACTTTGCGACAAGAACACAAATACATTAAATTGATCTATTGAGATAAAACGGAGAGAGAGAGAAAATTGATCTAGCGAAAGAGGATGATGACAATTAAATAGATGAAGATGTGAGCAACATTAGGATTGGGAAAATTAATTCTAACACTAAGCAAAATACATGACTTGAGCCGAATCTGGATGTACGGTAACTGCACGACTCAATTGGACTTGTTGTTGACCATTGGAATCACCGTTTGATGATTGATGTGAACCTTCATTACTAAAAAAGGAAGAAAAACATAATTTAGAATACTTAGTTTTTTTTTTGTATTCGATATTAATAACTAAAATACCTTTCCGGTTCTCTTTCAATTAAATGATACCGTGCACGAAATGCAACAAGATGAGCATAATAAGCTGGAGCTGGTATTGATACCGAACGTGTACATCTGACATATGTATGACAAAGTTGATAAGTTAATGCTTGAAGTTCATCAGAAGTAAAATTATTATCATCCCAAAGTACATGATAATGTGATGGTCGAGATGTACCTTGAATACCAGCATGTGAACATAAATAAAAATCATATTCAGTTGGATGTGTTATTGCAACATCCACTGTTGTGCCTGGTGGAATATTCCCACTTTTTCCACACTAAAAAAATAAAGTAGAGTAAAAAAGTTTAATTTTTGCTTTAAAGTACTTTTTTATTTTGTCCATAAAGGACATTTATTCTGGTATGTTTTTTATTCGAAATAAAACAAAAAAAGAAAATTCCGAGGTAAAAGAATACGTTGTATTGATAAATGAAAATGATAAGAAAACATACGGGGTTACAAACGCAATTAAAACATATAGACTATTAGTAAACATCTGAATCATCTGAATGACTCAGCAATATATCAAGGCTATATATTTGCAAATAGAATTTACGCCTTTAAATAACGATGCAATCAGAGTGCATCTACGACTTATAATAACGATACAGCTAACGCCATTATTTTAACCTACATTCATGCTGTGCCATATTACAGTAGTGTATAGTATATATATATATATATGTGTATACAGTACTGTTGTGTATAGTATAGTATATATATTTATATATACAATATATTATTCTATCGAGGGTTCTTTTCTCATACGACATAATGGGATGAATGTCTTGTGCTTGCTGATATTTAACTAAAAATAGAATCAAGGATATATTTACAATGATTGTATATTGTAAAGAATAAAAATATGAATTACTTTTACCAATAAGAAAAAAATATATTATTAGAATAATAATTTAAGTCAATATATATTGCTGTACGTCACAATCTTTTATTAAAACAAAACTAGTTGACATATAGTTGTGATGTACAATTGATTTATCTCATCTTACAAATCATGATAACGCTTCAGAAAGTTAAATTTGTTTCAACATTAATGTCAATAATCATTAAATTAAGAAAAATATTGAGAAAAAGAAAAATATGACGTTTATTGTTTTTTTTTTTTGTATTATATAAAATCGAAAGTGTAATGGATAGATAGACTTGACTTTCAAATTGTAAAGATATGTTCCATGAGACAAACATTTTTTATTATTGAATTTAGAATTTTAAAAATAAACTAGGTCAACTTCGTTATCCGTTGCTGACTTAAATACATATTCAATCTCTTACT